CTATCTATCTGATGGCTGTGCTGTGCTGCTTTTGTGGTTTTTGTATTGTTCTTTGTTTTTAAATGTTTTAACAATTGTAAATCACCCAGAGTTACTCAGAGTTGGGCAGCTATTCTTATTCTTATTCTTATTCTTATTCTTATTCTTATTCTTATTCTTATTTCCAATGGCCTCTGAAGCAATGTACCAAGGAACCTCTTTATTTCAGTTTTGGGGCACAAGATAAATCAAAAAGTCCTTTCCCTGAAATATTGCCATCTAGTGAGACCTAGGAAGCAGGACATTTTTATGACTACCCCTACCTCATGGAACACCCTCCCCATGGCAATCCAGAAGGCCCTCACCCCCTTAGCCTTCCAGAAGGCCATTAAAACCTAGATCTTTACCCAGGCACTGGGGTAGGATGGTGAAATCTGCAGATGGTTGTTGGGGCAGCCTGAGTGGTTCATTGAGAATGTTGCTTGCCAGCTGTGAATCCCTGGCACTATACAAAATCAACAGGACACTAAGGACCTTCCTCAAGAACTCAATGGGACTGTGGAAGACAACACTGGAAGCCAACTCAAGACAGATCACACAAATGACCATCAAATGCAGCATATACCAAGGTGATGCACTGTCCCCGCTGCTGTTCTGCATAGGCTTAAACCCCCTCAGCCAGATAATCACAAGGACTGGATATGGATACAAGGTCAGGAGGGGAACTACCATCCGCCCCATCCTCTACATGGATGACATCAAGCTGTATGCTAACAGTGAACAAGACATTGACTCAATGATCCACCTGATATGGATCTACAGTGAGGACATTGGGATGTCATCTGGACTGGAGAAGTGTGGGAGGTAGTTAAGACTGATGAGGTGGAACTACCAGCAGACCACATAGCGTATAGACCAGCGAACAAGTACCTTGGTATCCCACAGTCACATGGGAACCACGATGAGGAGGCAAGAAAGGCAGCAAGTACCACCAAAGGATAAGACAGGTCAATGGGAAGAACATGTATGCCCTGCTAGTGATCAGATACCCTGCTGGTATTGAGCTGGCCAAAGGAGGATTTGGAGGATGCCAATGTGAAGACCCAGAAGCTCCTCACAATGTATGTAGGTTTCCACCCCAAGTCCAACACCCAGAGATTGTACATCAGCCACAAAGAGGGCAGGCGGGGTCTGATGAGTGTCAAAGCCACTGCCATGGATGAAACCCAGAACATCCAGGAATATGTCAGAAAGATGGCACCCAAAGATGAGTTGCTGAGAGAATGCCTGAGTCAACAGCAGATATGGGAGGAAATTCACGTGGAGGAAGTACCATGGCAAGACAAGTGCTTGCATGGGATAAAATACCATTGACAAATAGCTGAAATTGCTGACATTGGAAATCCTAGCAGTGGCTGGAAAGGGCTGGACTAAAAGACAGGACTGAGGCACTTATCATATCAGCACAAGAACAGGCACTAAGCACCAGATCCATAGAAACAGGGGTCTACCACACTAGATG